CACAGCTGACACTGCTGGACTCGCCCACGTGAAGTCCGAGCTGCAGAAGAGACACACGTGCACAGACCTGGGTGAACTGCGCAGCTACCTTGGCTTGCAGATCACCCGGGACAGAGCACGCCGCACCATTACCCTGACTCAGTCACACATGGTGCAGCAGGTCCTTCAGCGCTTCGGCTTCACGTACTCCTCGCCTCAGGCCACTCCTCTGCCTACTCGCCACTCACTCTCAGCTCTGCCTTCGGATGAGTCAGTAGAGTCGAGTGGCCCGTATCCAGAGCTTGTTGGCTGCCTCATGTACCTGATGACCTGCACACGACCTGACCTTGCATACCCTCTTAGCATTCTTGCACGCTATGTTGCTCCTGGGAGACACCGACCAGAGCACATGGCTGCAGCGAAGAGGGTGTTGCGATACTTGTGCAGTACGTCGGGCATGGGACTAGTGCTTGGAGGGCGGAGTCCAGTGGTCCTCACTGGGCACGCGGACGCTTCTTGGGCTGACGACCAGGCTACGCAGCGGTCGTCGCAGGGTTACACCTTCAGTCTTGGTTCCGGCTCTGTCTCGTGGCGAGCTACTCGCTCGTCCTCTGTTCTCGGCTCCAGTTGTGAGGCTGAGATCTACGCCGGGGCCATGGCTGCACAGGAGCTTCGCTGGCTCACCTACCTGCTGACTGACCTTGGAGAGCCGCCTCGTTCTCCTCCAGTGCTGTACGTAGACAACAAGGCCATGCTGGCCTTGTGTCGAGAGCAGCGCTTGGAGCACAGAACGAAGCACATTGCTCTCCGTTACTTTCTTGCTCGTGAGCTGCAGCAGCGTGGTCAGTTGCGACTTGCGTACGTGGCCTCTCAGGCCAACACTGCTGATGTGTTCACCAAGGCACTTGCGCCTTGTGACCATCAGCGCTTCTGCACTCAGCTGGGTCTTGTACCTGTCTTGCCTCACTTGCTCTCCTCTTGACCTTACTTGTACTGTCACATATATATACCTGCTCTTGCTTGTCTAGCTCTATATATATATGTGTACTCCTGCATGTGAACTGGCCTTGTGGCCTTGTCGTTGTGCTCGGACTGTGTGGTGACGTTGTGATCCACCCTGAGCTTGCTCTGCTTTGCTTGACTGGTCTTGTGACCCCTTGTTCTCCCCCACTTTGCCTATGGGGGTGTGTCAGAACATTATATAGCTTATGCTGTTGTGTAGGCTATAGTGGGGTATCCCATAGGGGGTACCACCCAATTAGGGTTTTCCATATGTACTCACCTCATTCATAGTTCATTCATCCTCGTTCTTCATTCTTCTCACTACGTTGTACCGAAACTGACACTGAATGCTATTTCTACACGTTCCGAGTGTAGTTGCCCGAAGTACCGGGAATCTCAGATTCCCGCTGTGTCAGCACTGCCTGGCGGTGACTACGAGACAAATTTGCCCCGTGTTTTTTCACTCGCGGGGGGTTTCCTCGCGTTCCTGCCTGGTGTACCAAGAGGCAGTCAGCCGTGTGGTTTAGTAAAAACAGCCTTTTTTCTTAGGGAACACTGATGCTTCAAGGTTTTTTTAAAAGTGACACTGATTTTTCAGGTTTTTGTTTCTAAACGACACTGTCAATCAGGGATTCCACGCAGAGGGACCCTGATCCCTCTACGTCCCTCATAGTGAATCTGAGGGCCTGAGACTAGCTTGTTAGTGGAACCTGACTTCACAGAGTATCGACTCTGTGGACCCCGAATTTGACCTTATCGAGACGAAGGTTCGCGGAAATTTCCTTCCGATAACCCCGCTTTCGGATTGTTCGGAGTACAGCCAGCGCGTGAGTGACCCCGAATAAGACATTATCGGAACGAAGTTTCTTCGAAATTTCGTTCAGAGACACTCACCATCGAGATCGTAATGGGAGTTTCCTGGAAACATTGTACGAGTACCCCATGTGCGTAGCCCCCCGCTTTATCGAGAAGTTTCCTAGAAAGTTCGTTCCTATACTCCACCATCGAGGTTAGGTTTCGATAATGCACAGTGCGTTACTACTCTGATCCTGACTTATCGACCCTGAACAATCAGACTATATAACTTCCCAAAGCCGAGCAATCATGGTTATGTTTTTCTGGAAAATATGCACCCATAATACAGGGGGGAATTTTTCCCCGGATTCAGGGAGGCCTAAATTGAAACGTCAGTGTCAGAATAAGCAGGCAGGAATGGTGGACTAGGTAGCATGCATGAGTACAAGTACCTAACCCTAAACTGTTGTACCCCTTGTAGGCTAACCCACTATAGCCTAGAGATAAGACAAACATACAGTTTGACACACCCCCATAGGCTAAGTGGGAGATAGCAAACACAACAGACGGTCACAAGACCAGTCAAGCAAGAGAACAAGCAAAGCAAAGCAAAGCTCAGGGTGGATCTCAAGGACACCACACAATCTGAGCACAAGCAAGCGGCCGCAAGGCCAGTTCACATGCAGAGTTATAATAGCAAGGCAGTACACTGATCACAACCTAGCAAGAGTAAACAAGCAGGTATAAAGATATATATTAGTGTACAACAAGAGCAAGTCAAGCAACCAGCAGGTGAGGCCGAGTGGGCACAAGCCCAAGAGCAGTGCAGAAACGCTGATGATCACCAGCCCCAAGGGCCTTGGTGAAGACATCAGCATTGTTGGCCCGAGAGGCCACGAAGGCAAGGCGCAGCTGACCACGCTGCTGCAGCTCACGCGCAAGGAAGTAGCGAAGAGCAATGTGCTTCGTTCGGTGCTCCAGTCTCTGCTCGCGACACAAGGCAAGCATTGCCTTGTTGTCGATGTACAGAACTGGAGGAGAATGAGGCCGCTCCCCCAAGTCGGTCAGCAGGTAGGTCAGCCAGCGGAGCTCCTGTGCAGCCATGGCCCCAGCGTAGATCTCGGCCTCACAGCTGGAACCAAGCACAGAAGAAGAACGAGTGGACCTCCACGAGACAGAACAAGCGCCAAGACTGAAGGTGTAGCCCTGTGACGAACGCTGAGTCGCCTGGTCGTCGGCCCAAGAAGCGTCAGAGTGTCCTGTGAGGACCACTGAACCCCGTCCTCCAAGCACGAGCCCATGACCGATATGCTGCACAAGTAACGCAGTACCCTCTTCGCAGCATCAAAGTGCACCTTTCGGTGTCGACCAGGTGCCACGTAGCGAGCCAAGAGGCTGAGAGGGTACGCGAGGTCAGGTCGTGTGCATGTCACCAGGTACATGAGGCAACCCACAAGCTCTGGGTACGGACCACTCGGCTCTACGGACTCGTCCAAAGGTGGAGCTGAGAGCGAGTGGCCGGTAGCCAGAGGAGTGGGCTGTGGCGAGGAGTACGTGAAGCAGAAGCGCTGAAGGACCTGGTGCACCATGTGTGACTGAGTCAGGGTGATGGTGCGCCGTGCTCTGTCCCGGGTGATCTGCAAGCCAAGATAGCTCCGCAGCTCACCCAGGTCAGTGCAGGTGTGTCTCTCCTGCAGCTCCGCCTTCACTAGGGCCAGTGCCTCAGTGTCAGCAGTAGCAAAAACCAAGTCGTCGACGTACACGAGGATGTAGAACGGCGGCAGAGTAGTGTCGGTGCGTAGAAACAGCGACGGGTCAGTAGTCGAAGGAGCAAACCCAAGAGCAGCAAGTGTCGTCCTCAGTGTGTCGTGCCACTCGTGGGGCGCCTGACGCAGGCCGTACACTGGTCGCCGTAGGCCCGCGACCTGCCTGCACGTAGGCCGCCGCCCGTAGGCTTCCCGTCGCCCGTCGTTGCCCGTAGGCCGCCCTTACGCTGCCCATAGGCCGCCCGTACGCCGCCCGTAGGCCGCTGCCGCCCGTAGGCAGCCCGTACGCCGCCCGTAGGCCGCTGCCGCCCGTAGGCAGCCCGTAGGCAGCCCGTAGGCAGCCCGTAGGCAGCCCGTAGGCAGCCCGTACGCCGCCCGTAGGCCGCTCGCGCGCAGGCCGTAACCCGCGCGCCGCGGCTGCTGCACGCCGGCGCCTGCAGCTCGCCGGGACCCGCGCGCGTCGCCCCCTGCCTCTTTGCGACGCCTCTGCGGGACCCGCGCGTCGCCCCCGCCTCTTCGCGACGCCCTTACGGGACCAGCGCGTCGCCCCCTGCCTCTTCGCGACGCCTCTGCGGGACCCGCACGTCCCCCCCTGCCCAGGGGTCTCTTTTCATTTTAGGGCACTCTTTCAAATCAGGGTTTCCGCCCCCCGCCACCCGGCCAAGGCCGGGTGGCGCACGGCAAAATCAGGGTAGTGGCAGGGTATTTTTTGCCACATCTGATTAGTGGCAGGGTGTTTTTTTTTAGGACCCTGTTTTGCAGTGTTACTTTAGGTGCTACTCAGCCTCCAGCCCTTATATGCATAGATTCGATAACTATACAATCAACTGCAATAAACAATGACTACTACAACTAGTACAAAAAACAGTGCCTACTACATACATAAGCTACTATGACTGCAACGAACTAATTTATTCATCAAGTACAACTAATCTAGCCTAAGTTGCAACGTCAAATGCATTCTACCTGCTTTAGATTTCTAGCAAGGATCCAACCATTTATTGCAATCTTTGTGTTTAGATGCATCCTCTAAGACACTTCTGCCTCCTCCACACGCTTCTCCTTGTTCTGATCGCCATTGTCCTTGGCGGGCTTGCGCTTCTTCCGCCCAAGAAAAACGTCCACCACTTCCACCCACTGGACAGGGTAGTCAAGCATGGACACCACCATGAGCTCCTCCAGGCGGGTGTCAGCAAGAGCAGTGCGGTTCCATGACTTGATCAGGTTCTGCCTCGAAAAGCCCCGCTCACATTCAACTGTGCTCAGCGGGAGCACAGCCACCGCCTGCCACAGGTTCACAAGGTTCGGGTACTCCCCCTGCCACTCAGTCTGCAGCATGTTCCCAAGAGCTTGGTGGAACGACTGACCAGAGTACCTGCTCTCCAGAATCGTCGTGAAGAGGCGCAATTCCTTCTCGCATTGCTCAAACGAGACACCTATTGGCAAGAAACAGAGGGTTTAGGTTCGTTGCAACATGGACAATTGGATAGACAAGGACAGCAACATCAACGAAGGGTTAGCTGTAAGGAGCCTACCTGGAAGCTGGCCATGGTACATATCCTTCAGCTCACGCAGCCACATGATCTGCTGAGCCTCCCTCTCTCCTGCACGAACTGGGTAGAACCTGGGCCTGTACAGATTCACCCCAACGAGCGCGCGGAGATCCCCAAGCCTGCGGCGCAGTCCCAACATAGTCTCCCTCACGTACAGCTGCCCTAGGCCGACACAGCTGTCCAGGTGACCGGGAGAGACCTGGCCAGGCAGGGGACGCTCGTGCAGCTCCGCGCTATAGCCGATGGCATTTCCATCGGCATCCACTCCCTCGTATCGCTTCATCCGCTTCTCATGGTCCATGTGCTCATCCAAGAAGCGGGAGAGGCGAGGGCTCTTTCGATTGCCAAACACGATACGGTCTTCCAGGTAGTTGAGCTGCAGCGTCATACAGACAGTGTCCACATGGTCGTAGACCACGGTTGGGTCTACCTGCCACGTGAAATAAAAATCAGCGTTAGTTTGGAGGCACGTGATAAGTACAACAACAACACCCACACTCTCACTGCGTTCAACTCACCACGCGTAGCTGGAATTTCCTGTTCAAGCCATTGAGAAGGTCCAGAACGTCAGCCAGAAGGTAGAGCAGGAAATGGAACTTGAACGAGGTCACGACCTCCAAGAGCTCATGCCCTTTCTCCTTGAGAAGAACAACGATAGGAGAGAGCACATCGGCGAAGCGAGCAACAGCAGTGCCGCGGGAGAGCCAGCGGACTGCGTGAATCCCCTGGAGCTCCAGGTTCGTGTGGCAGATTTCTTCTTGAAGCTTCAGAAACCGTTGGTGCCACAGATGCTTTCTCCCCAGCTCCCCAGCGACACCTCGGATGACAGCATCCACGATCAGAAGGTCAGGGGCCTTCTTCGAGCCATCCTGAGCAGCAAGCGCTTCCCTGCCAAGAAGGGAAAGTTGGAGAATGCACAGAGGATAGGGAGCAAAGGGGCGGAGAGGGAAGGGAAGAAGGGTGGAGAGGGTGCAATCGAGGGGCGGAGTGGGAAGGGAGAAAGGGAGAAGAGGCAAGAGCTGTAGGCTAGGGCAGAAACGGGATCCAATGGGAAGTTGTACACGCTCGTCACTGGACCATGCATCGTGAGGGAAAAGAAGGGGGCTGGCAGAAACGAGTGGGTGATGGAAGATTAACATGCAAATTCTGAGAAGCGCTTACCTATGCGCGATGCAATGGCTGGAAAACAGGTGTGGCGCCCTTCCACGCAGACGCGTCACAAGACCGGTGAGTGGGCCAGTCATCACAGAGGCTCCATCGGTACTAATACCGACAATCTTGTTGAAGTCCAGCCCAATCGCCGCCAGGTGGGTAGTTAGAGCCCCATACAATGCGCCGGCGTCGCACTTCTCAACCGTCAGAAGCGCATTGAATTCCGTCGCCACCTCTCCTCCGGGCATGAATGTCGGGTAAACAATCATGTGCTTGCCTCTCGCACGATCTGTGCTCTCATCCACGCTAATCCCAACATAGGGAGAAGCGTGGACAGCTCGCATCTGATGCTCCCCAAGGTACCGGCTGAGAGCAGTGACGAATTCACGGAACGCGTAACTGTACATACCCAAGGCCATGAACGGGTAGAGATGGGTCGGATTGAGGGGAAGAGTGGGACGGGGGAAAGGGAGATGAGGGGAAAAGGTGAAACAGGGCAGAGGGTTGTAAAAAGAGTTGTAGTCAGAAAAATAACATGGGTAATGCGGAGTGCAAAGCAATGATCTCTAACGGTGGTTACTCAGAATAGTAGGTCCCGTATGCGCCAGGAGCAAGGAGGTCCGGCAAACCCTCAGAGGCAAGCCACTTGCACATCTCGGAGTACATCACAATTGGAGCTTCCGACCTGGCGATATACTGCACCACCTTCAAGCACCGAACGGCGTGTCGCGTGAACGCGTCCGTTTGGATGAAGGCCTCAATGCTTTGCTAGCGCTGCACCGCATCCTCTGCCTTCTGCTTGTTCTCAAGAGCGCGTTTGTGAGCACGTGATGCCTCGTGCGCGCGAATACTCCCCACCTGAATGTCCACCGCTCCTTCACCACCCCTTCCGTAGCGAGTGTTGCTGCTAGCATCACCGTGACGAAGACACTCCTTGCACTTCATGACCGGGTTGCCAGCAGTGTTTGTCGTCATGACAAGCCATGGAAACCGCCTTGCCCAGTCGTCACATGGGCGGCGAGCGCGGGATCCAGCCGCCGCCGGCGTGTCGGCGTTCACTGCATTAGCGACACCGCCAACTTCCGGAGTGGCGTTGTTGTCCGGGCCTTGGGATTGGGAGGCGAAAGTCAATGTCTGCTGGGTCCATTTTACACGCGGACGGTCACCGCCAGGCAAGGGCGTAGGCGCTGATGTGGTCTCCGTCGGCTCATCCGGACGCTCATATACTTCCGTAGATGCTGTGGGTGTTTCCTCAAGGTTGATATCCAGCTGCTCTTCGTCGGCCTGACATCCATGCATTGGAGCGTTCGCTCCAGGGGTTGGAATGGGATCCATTAGGATCAGAAATGGTGAACCAAAATATATTCTAGGTGTGTCTCTCGATGTGTGGCATGTACCTTAAATATTAACAAGGCCATGAACGCGGTAGGAGAAGGAGGGAGTGACCTACCTCGGACGTGGCTTCAATCGTACCTCGCGGCGCTCGCATAGCTAAATTTTCGCACGGAACGCGCAGCGGAATGACGAAGATCTGGTAGAGACGGTGCGCCACGTCACGTAACGCGGAATTCTCATTACGTGCCACGGAAACGGCATCAGCTGGCGCCGCGACTCTGTTCCCACGAGGTCAAACACTCTCAAATCGCTAGAAATGGGCGCTAACGGCCTCTGACAAGAAACGTTCAGAGTCCATGGAGGGAGGAAACGGAAAGCTACACTAGGCAGACGTCGTGCAGGATAGCGCTGGGCTGGACAGGTGGTGTGGTGTGGTGTAGGTGGGTGGCTCTGATCTGACACATAAAGGGAGGGAAAGCACGCACGACTCGTGATCCTCTAGCTGCATTGTGTTGGTTGGTGAGTAGTGCTAGCTCTCACCTCACCCGTGTGAGAGATTGTGACTTAGCCACAATTCGTGTTATGACTGAGACACTCTACAGCTGTCTCTACGATTCTCAGCACTTCACCATTTTTTTCGGTACAACAGAGATGGGGCTCGCCAAAACAGCCCAGTAGGATCACAGCGCTGCTCTACAGCTGTCTGTGAGAGCTTCGATACTTGGATTTTTTTCACAACACAGATGGTGTTCGACAGAGTGGCCCAATAGGAACATGTGAGATTCGTTTTTTTGGCTAAGGGAGAATGTGAGAGTACGACGGCTTATGCCAGCTATGCTTGCTTGCCTTTACTTTATCATGCTATTTCTAGCATAGGATAATTATATGCATGCATGAATTGCTTGATTTCCTAGGCTAGGTGCTTTCCTATATTCTATTATAGTTATAGCACCGAGCTAGGTTGCGTGCACCGAATTCTGGCTTTTCGGTTGCCACCGAATTGCCTTCTACCGAATTCGGGAAGGATCTGTTCGGGACGCTTCGCGACCCGCGGAACCTTCGCGTAACACCTGGTTACTGGGCCTTGTGTCGAGCCTATATATAGCCTCGTGTTGTACCCAGGTGAGCATTCAATTACAATTCTCTTTTCTGAGCTCGATCCTAGATCCTCACACTTGGTATCAGAGCCTGTTTAGAAGCGAAGTTTTTCGACCGCTGAAAACTAGCTTTTAAAACCGCGGGGGCGACGACGAAAAGCGCCGATTACGGGTACGTAAACCAGTTCCGCGCTATTTTTTAACGTCCCCCTCGAACCGGTTTTTCGAACACTCCTCAGGTCCAGTGGCGAAAAAGTTGGAATTTCGACCGTCGGATCGATTCGAATCTCAACGGCCCTGATAATTTTTCCCAAACAAGTTGGAATTTGGAGCATCGGATCGAATTTCTTCTCAACGACCGAGATCGAACGCAAATTTCAACTAAGGGAGAATAACGCGACGTACAGAATCAGCGCTCGTCAGTTCTACAGTCAATTCGACTCACAGTAAGATGACCAGCACCTAGAATTCAAATATTTTCGTCGCAAATCTTCCTGTAAATCGTCAAATGGAGGAAAACGGTGATAATTCCGTACGAAAAATTGCGGAGTTACACACCGGCCTGGACCAGACGCGAGCAGCACTCCAGCGAATAGAGGAGCTTCTCGCGAACCAGTCGGTAGCCACCACAGCAGCAGCGAACCCAGCAGCGAATGCAGCAGCGACAGCAGCAGCAGCAGCGGCGACACCGACACTTCACCCAGCAGCAGCGGCAGTGGCTACAGTGAATCTTGAGGCGGCACGTCCGAGGCAACCGGAGACGTTCAATCTGAATGCGAGAGACACCGACGTCCGTCGATTCATTACGACCCTCGAAATTTACTTCGAGGCCGTTGGCTGTACGACCCCGACACACGATGCAATGCGGATTCGGCACGCAACGACACTGTTACGAGGCCCGGCGCTCGAGTGGATTTACAATAGCAACGAGGTCCGAGGCGAGGGGTCATGGACGCAGTTTCGGGAAGCTTTAATTCAACGTTTCGAACCAATCAACTCCAGCTACATGGCGCGGCAGCAGATTCATCGGCATAAACAGTTCGGCAGTGTAACACAGTACACGCAGCAGATGGAGAGCCTCTTCAACCGAATTACCGACCTGACCGAAGGGGAAAAAATCCAAGCGTATACTGAGGGGCTAAAGATGGAAGTCCGCCGACAGGTGATTGCCACGAACTACAACAACTACCGCGACATGGTGTGTGCAGCAGAGAGATTCGATGCGCTGACGCGAGATCAACCCGAGACACGACGCCACGTGCCGAACAGATCATTCGACACGAAGCGATCGGCACCACCCACGACCGCCGACCCGATGGATATCGACAAGATCGACGCGAAGCAGCGGCCGACAAAATATGAGAATTGCGAATTTTGTGGCGCAGCAGGACATCGACTCTTGGCGTGTTGGAAAATGAAGAAGGCACGAGCAGAGCTGCAGGGCAACAACAGTGCGACATCCATGATGGCGAAAAAAGGAGGACACGATGGCGCGAATTTGAAACGCCACGACCGGCCGGCAACATGGGAAATCGCCGAGACAAATGGAGGCTCCGCGAAACAAGACTCTGCACCGACCGGGAAACTCCAGCCGAACACCCCCGAGAGTAAGAATATTTTCTCTCGAGGTTTTCAAGCCTTTAAAAAATTCAGGGGAGATTTCAAGGCCAAGAAAAGGCCTTCAGACATTATTCAGGTACCTGAGAAGTTGGGCAAACCACTCCGGAGCGTTGAAAAGGGTCGTGCATTCCAAGGAGTTAATATTCTCTCCCCGCAGCATAGTGTTAAGGCTCCCCATTGCCCACAAGAGAAGCCTACACAGCTGCAAAGGCTTAAGGGAAGGATCCAGGCCAAGACGAAGCTGAATCAGCCTCGGATAAATCCTTCTACCCCTACTCAGTTGAAAACCGATATGGAGTCAACAGCTTCGAGCGCAGGACCGAGGGATGATCTATTCGACGTACCCTACGATCCTATAAGCGAGACCATCTACGGTTACTCGGAGCAGCAACAACCACTACTACTCGAGGTGATCTGCAACGGGCGACGCCTCCAAGCACTGGTGGACAGCGGTGCGTCTCACTCGGTGTGCGACCGCGGGACGTTGGAGAAAATTGGAGAACCTTCGGAGGAGACCAATTTCACGGCAACGATGGTGGACGGTACGAAACTTCCCATCCACGGCGAAGCATCACTGCAGCTGCACATAGGGGCGCTGAGGTGGAAGCCGACGTTGCCGATCACGAACATCAAGGGATCAGATTTCATCTTGGGGAGAGATTTCTTGAAGCGGTTCAACCCCCGAGATCGATTGGGTCAACAGGAAGGCGCGCATCTACAACAACGGGAAACGAGTGGAGCTGCGAAGCTGGACGGATACAGGGAGCGTTCCTGAAACGACACTGGCACGGTTTGAACAGACAGTGAATGAGAGTAACACGGGATACTTAGCACTGGTTATGGCAGCAGCAGAGGAGGAGAAGCCGAGTTCGGAGCTACCTGCAGCAGTGAAGGAGGTCTTGGAGCAGTACAAAGATATAATGCCCGACGACCTA